CTAGGACACAGGTGAACAAGGGTATGCTAGGACACAGGTGAGCAAGGGTGAGCTAGGACGCAGGTGAGCTAGGATGAGCTAAGACACAGGTGAGCTAAGACACAGGTGAGCAAGGGTGAGCTAGGATGAGCTAAGACACAGGTGAGCTAGGACACGGGTTAGCTAGGGTGAGCTAGGAAATAGGTGAGCTAGGGTGAGCTAGGACACAGGTGAACAAGGTTGAGCTAAGACACAGGTGAGCTAGGGTGAGCTAGGGCACAGGTGAGCCAGGGTGAGTTAGGACACAGGTGAGCCAGCGTGAGCTAGGACACAGGTGAGCAAGGGTGAGCTAGGACACAGGTGAGCAAGGGTGAGCTAGGGTGAACTAGGACACAGGTGAGCTAGGGTGAGCTAGGACACAGGTGAGCAAGGGTGAGCTAGGACACAGGCGAGCAAGGGTGAGGTAGGACACAGGTGAGCAAGGGTGAGCTAGGACACAGGCGAGGTAGAATGAGCTAGAACACAGGTGAGCTAGGGTGAGCTAGGACACAGGTGAGCCAGGGTGAGCTAGGACACAGGCGAGGTAGAATGAGCTAGAACACAGGTGAGCTAGGGTGAGCTAGGACACAGGTGAGTTAGGGTGAGCTAGGACACAGGTGAGCCAGGGTGAGCTAGGACACAGGTGAGCTAGGGTGAGCTAGGACACAGGTGAGCTAGGGTGAGCTAGGACACGGGTGACCTAGGGTGAGCTGGGACACGGGTAAGCTAGGGTGAGCTATGACACGGGTGAGCTAGGGTAAGCTAGGACAAAGATGAGCTAGGGTGAGCTGGGACACGGGAGAGCTAGGGTAAGCTAGGACATAGGTGACCTAGGGTGAGGTGGGACACGGGTGAGCTAGGGTGAGCTAGGACACGGGTGAGCTAGGACATAGGTGACCTAGGGTGAGGTGGGACACGGGTGAGCTAGGGTGAGCTAGGGTAAGCTAGGACATGGGTGAGCTAGGACACATGTGAGCTAGGGTGAGCTACGACACAGGTGAGCTAGGGTGAGCTAGGACACAATTGAGCTAGGACACAGCTGAGCTAGGGTGAGCTACGACACAGGTGAGCTAGGGTGATCTACGACACAATTGAGCTAGGACACAGGATAGCTAGGATGAGCTGGACACAGGTGAGCTAGGACACAGGTGAGCAAGGGTGAGCTAGGACACAGGTGAGCTAGGATGAGCTAGGACGCTGGTGAGCTAGGACACAGGTGAGCTAGGGTGAGCTACAACACAGGTGAGCTAGGGTGAGCTAGGACACAAGTGAGCTAGGGTGAGGTACGACACGGGTGAACTAGGGTGAGCTAGGACACAAGTGAGCTAGGGTGAGCTAGGAGACGGGTGAACTAGGGTGAGCTAGGGCACAGGTGAGCTAGGGTGACCTAGGACACGGGTGAGCTAGGACACAGGTGAGCTAGGACAGCTAGGACACGGGTGAGCTAGGACACGGGTGAGCTAGGGTGAGCTAGGACACAGGTGAGCTAGGGTGAGCTAGGACACGGGTGAGCTAGGACACAGGTGAGCTAGGGTGAGCTAGGACACGGGTGAGCTAGGACACAGGTGAGCTAGGGTGAGCTGGGACACAGGTGAGCTAGGACACGGGTGAGCTAGGACACACATGAGCTAGGGTGAGCTAGGACACAGGTGAGCTAGGGTGAGCTAGGACACAGGTGATACAGGGTGAGCTAGGATACAGGTGACCTAGGGTGAGCTAAGACACGGGTGAGCTAAGACACAGGTGAGCTAAGGTGAGCTAGGACACGGGTGAGCTAGGACACAGGTGAGCTAGGGTGAGCTACGACACAGGTGAGCTAGGGTGAGCTACGACACAGGTGAGCTAGGGTGAGCTAGGACACAGGTGAGCTAGGGTGAGCTAGGACACAGGAGAGCTAGGACACAGGTGAGCTAGTGTGAGCTAGGCCACAGGTGAGCTAGGGTTAGCTAGGGTGAACTAGGGTGAGCTAGGTTGAGCTAGGACACAGGTGAGCTAGGGTGAGCTAGGACACAGGTGAGCTAGGGTGAGCTAGGACACAGGTGAGCTAGGGGTGAGCTAGGGTGAGCTAGGACACAGGTGAGCTAGGGTGAGGACACAGGTGAGTGAGCTAGGACACAGGTGAGCTAGGACACAGGTGAGCTAGGGTGAGCTAGGACACAGGTGAACTAGAGCTAGGACACAGGTGAGCTAGGGGTGAGCTAGGGTGACACAGGTGAGCTAGGGTAGGACACAGGTGAGCTAGGGTGAGATAGGACTAGGGACACAGGTGTGAGCTAGGACACAGGTGAGCTAGGGTGAGCTAGGACACAGGTGAGCTAGGGTGAGCTAGGACACAGGTGAGCTAGGGTGAGCTAGGACACAGGTGAGCTAGGGTGAGCTAGGACACAGGTGAGCTAGCACAGGTGAGCCAGGTGAGCTAGGACACAGGTGAGCTAGGGTGAGCTAGGACACAGGTGAGCTAGGGTGAGCTAGGACACAGGTGAGGGTGAGCTAGGGGGTGAGCCAGGACACAGGTGAGCTAGGGTGAGCTAGGACACAGGTGAGCTAGGGTGAGCTAGGACACAGGTGAGCTAGGTGAGCTAGGACACAGGTGAGCTAGGGTGAGCTAGGACACAGGTGAGCTAGGGTGAGCTAGGACACAGGTGAGCTAGGGTGAGCTAGGACACAGGTGAGCTAGGGTGAGCTAGGACACAGGTGAGCTAGGGTGAGCTAGGACACAGGTGAGCTAGGGTGAGCTAGGACACAGGTGAGCCAGGGTGAGCTAGGACACAGGTGAGCTAGGGTGAGCTAGGACACAGGTGAGCTAGGGTGAGCTAGGACATAGTTGAACTAGGACATAGGTGGGCTAGGGTGAGCTAGGACACAGGTGAGCTAGGGTGAGCTAGGACACAGGTGAGCTAGAGGTGAGCTGAGCTAGGACACAGGTGAGCTAGGGTGAGCTAGGACACAGGTGAGCTAGGGTGAGCTAGGACACAGGTGAGCTAGGGTGAGCTAGGACACAGGTGAGCTAGAGTGAGCTAGGACACAGGTGAGCTAGGACACAGGTGAGCTAGGAGCTAGGACACAGGTGAGCTAGGGTGAGCTAGGACACAGGTGAGCTAGGACACAGGTGAGCTAGGACACAGGAGAGCTAGGGTCAGCCAGGGTTAGCTAGGACACAGGTAAGCTAGAGTGAGCAAGGACACAGGTGAGCTAGGACACAGGTGAGCTAGGGTGAGCTAGGACACAGGTGAGCTAGATTGAGCTAGGACACAGGTGAGCCAGGGTGAGCTAGGACACAGGAGAGCTAAGGTGATCTACGGTGAGCCAGGGTGAGCTAGGACACAGGTGAGCTAGGGTGAGCTAGGACACAGGTGAGCTAGAGTGAGCTAGGACACAGGTGAGCTAGGGTGAGCTAGGACACAGGTGAGCTAGGGTGAGCTAGGACACAGGTGAGCTAGGAGCACAGGTGAGCTAGGGTGAGCTAGGACACAGGTGAGCACACGGGTGAGCAGGTGAGCTAGGGGTGAGCTAGGACACATGTGAGCTAGGGTGAACTAGGACACAGGTGAGCTAGGGTGAACCAGAGTAAGCTAGGACACAGGTAATCCAGGGTGAGCTAGGACACAGGTGAGCTAGGGTGAGCTAGGACACAGGTGAGCTAGGGTGAGCTAGGACACAGGTGAGCTAGGACACGGGTGAGCTAGGGTGAGCTAGGGTGAACCAGGGTGAGCTAGGACACAGGTGAGTTAGAGTGAGCTAGGACACAGGTGAGCTAGGGTGAGCTAGGACACAGGTGAGCTAGGGTGAGCTAGGACACAGGTGAGCTAGGGTGAGCTAGGACACAGGTGAGCTAGGGTGAGCTAGGACACAGGTGAGCTAGGGTGAGCTAGGACACAGGTGAGCCAGGGTGAGCTAGGACACAGGTGAGCTAGGGTGAGCTAGGACACAGGTGAGCTAGGGTGAGCTAGCTAGGGTGAGCTAGGACACAGGTGAGCTAGGGTGAGCTAGGACTAGGACACAGGAGAGCTAGGGTGAGCTAGGACACAGGTGAGCTAGGGTGAGCTAGGACACAGGTGAGCTAGGGTGAGCTAGGACACAGGTGAGCTAGGGTGAGCCAGGACACAGGTGAGCTAGGACACAGGTGAGCTAGGGTGAGCTAGGACACAGGTGAGCTAGGGTGAGCTAGGACACAGGTGAGCTAGGGTGAGCTAGGACACAGGTGAGCTAGGGTGAGCAGGACACAGGTGAGCTAGGGTGAGCTAGGACACAGGTGAGCTAGGGTGAGCTAGGACACAGGTGAGCTAGGGTGAGCTAGGACACAGGTGAGCTAGGGTGAGCTAGGACACAGGTGAGCTAGGGTGAGCTAGGACACAGGTGAGCTAGGGTGAGCTAGGACACAGGTGAGCTAGGGTGAGCAGGACACAGGGTGAGCTAGGACACAGGTGAGCTAGGGTGAGCTAGGACACAGGTGAGCTAGGGTGAGCTAGGACACAGGTGAGCTAGGGTGAGCTAGGACACAGGTGAGCCAGGGTGAGCTAGGACACAGGTGAGCTAGGGTGAGCTAGGACACAGGTGAGCTAGGGTGAGCCAGGACACAGGTGAGCTAGGGTGACACACAGGTGAGCTAGAGCTAGGACACAGGTGAGCTAGGGTGAGCTAGGACACAGGTGAGCTAGGGTGAGCTAGGACACAGGTGAGCTAGGGTGAGCTAGGACACAGGTTAGCCAGGGTGAGCTAGGACACAGGTGAGCTAGGGTGAGCTAGGACACGGGTGAGCTAGGACACAGGTGAGCCAGGGTGAACTAGGACACAGGTGAGCTAGGGTGAGCTAGGACACAGGTGAGCTAGGGTGAGCTAGGACACAGGTGAGCTAGGGTGAGCCAGGACACAGGTGAGCTAGGGAGAGCCAGGACACGGGTGAGCTAGGACACAGGTGAGCTAGGGTGAGCTAGGACACAGGTGAGCTAGGGTGAGCTAGGACACAGGGGTAACATACTCACCATTGTCAGAGGCCTCCAGCTGGTAGAACGGGTCGTCCATATTCTTGTCTGGAAAAGATAACACCATAAATATGTTTCTATAACAATTGATGAATATACAATCAATACAGATTATGTCTCTTTACCTGCAATGTTGCAGCGTGTATGGCGTTATTTAGAGATTTAGTCTCTTATACATCCATACACACACACGCGCATACATGTACTCATGTATACACACACCCACACTCCTACAGGGACCAAAGAGTCAGAGTTCAACCCCCGCAAGCACAACTAGGTGAGTACAGTGGTAGTCTCCAAGCTAAAGTACTTCCCACCCTCAATCACACCCTCCCACAGTACCTCACACTATCCCAGAGTACCTCACACCCTCCCACAGTACCTCACACTCTCCCACAGTACCTCACACTCTCCCACAGTACCTCACACCCTCCCACAGTACCTCACACTCTCCCACAGTACCTCACACTCTCCCACAGTACCTCACACTCTCCCACAGTACCTCACACTCTCCCACAGTACCTCACACTCTCCCACAGTACCTCACACTCTCCCACAGTACCTCACACCCTCCCACAGTACCTCACACTCTCCCACAGTACCTCACACTCTCCCACAGTACCTCACACTCTCCCACAGTACCTCACACTCTCCCACAGTACCTCACACTCTCCCACAGTACCTCACACTCTCCCACAGTACCTCACACTCTCCCACAGTACCTCACACTCTCCCACAGTACCTCACACTCTCCCACAGTACCTCACACTCTCCCACAGTACCTCACACTCTCCCACAGTACCTCACACTCTCCCACAGTACCTCACACTCTCCCACAGTACCTCACACTCTCCCACAGTACCTCACACTCTCCCACAGTACCTCACACTCTCCCACAGTACCTCACACCCTCCCACAGTACCTCACAGTACCTCACACTCTCCCACAGTACCTCACACCCTCCCACAGTACCTCACACCCTCCCACAGTACCTCACACCCTCCCACAGTACCTCACACTCCCCCACAGTACCTCACACCCTCCCACAGTACCTCACACCCTCCCACTCTCCCACAGTACCTCACACTCTCCCACAGTACCTCACACCCTCCCACAGTACCTCACACCCTCCCACAGTACCTCACACTCTCCCACAGTACCTCACACCCTCCCACAGTACCTCACACTCCCACAGTACCTCACACTCTCCCACAGTACCTCCCACCCTCCACAGTACCTCACACTCTCCCACAGTACCTCACACTCTCCCACAGTACCTCACACCCTCCCACAGTACCTCACACTCTCCCACAGTACCTCACACTCTCCCACAGTACCTCACACCCTCCCACAGTACCTCACACCCTCCCACAGTACCTCACACTCTCCCACAGTACCTCACACTCTCCCACAGTACCTCACACTCTCCCACAGTACCTCACACCCTCCCACAGTACCTCACACTCTCCCACAGTACCTCACACTCTCCCACAGTACCTCACACTCTCCCACAGTACCTCACACTCTCCCACAGTACCTCACACTCTCCCACAGTACCTCACACTCTCCCACAGTACCTCACACTCTCCCACAGTACCTCACACTCTCCCACAGTACCTCACACTCTCCCACAGTACCTCACACTCTCCCACAGTACCTCACACTCTCCCACAGTACCTCACACTCTCCCACAGTACCTCACACTCTCCCACAGTACCTCACACTCTCCCACAGTACCTCACACTCTCCCACAGTACCTCACACTCTCCCACAGTACCTCACACTCTCCCACAGTACCTCACACTCTCCCACAGTACCTCACACTCTCCCACAGTACCTCACACTCTCCCACAGTACCTCACACTCTCCCACAGTACCTCACACTCCCACAGTACCTCACACTCTCCCACAGTACCTCACACTCTCCTACAATACCTCACACCCTCCCACAGTACCTCACACTCTCCTACAATACCTCACACCCTCCCACAGTACCTCACACTCTCCCACAGTACCTCACACTCTCCCATAGTACCTCACACCCTCCCATAGTACCTCACACCCTCCCACAGTACCTCACACTCTCCCACAGTACCTCACACTCTCCCACAGTACCTCACACCCTCCCACAGTACCTCACCCTCTCCCACAGTAACCAACAGCCTCACTGGGAAGAGTTAAACAGAGCAGAGAGGGTAAAACTCTGATGTAAACTTTAAAAACAAAAATATCTTGCCGGAAGGTGTGAGGAAAACTGTAAACTTTACCTCTGACGTATTTTTGTGGTCTACGGCGACCGGTCACGATACTCGGATTTACATCACCCTTCTCTAAGTTTTCCTTACCTTTTTACATTTTAGGTACAAGGGAAGTTTTTCTGTAAATATTGGATTCCAAAATATAATTTGTGTAATTTTTCGTTTTTAAGAATTTGGATGAACTTGTTCATAGTGATAATTTAGTGATTATTCTTTGAAAAAATATTTATATAAGGTAATAAATATTAAAATATATAATAATCATACTGAGACTGGTGTATGATGTGCTCAAACTTTATAGTGATGGTGTTGTAATCCACAAGTTAGTGGGGATTATTAGCTAGAGGATCATTACTACAACACTTAACGAATGATGATTGGAAGTACATGTTAAGTAGACAGACTATGGATCACATATCTAAGAAAGGTCAATGGATTAAGACCGCAGCTGCTTAGCCAAATTAATAATTCCTGGAAAGAGAACTCAGGCTTCTAGGAACAAGGTTACCGCCCTAGGGATAAGGTTAATCGGATTATACCTTCCTTGAGAGGCGGGGTGAAATGGTTGAGGTAGATGGCTGACTGGAAGCAGTCTTGTTGTGGGAGTGGAACTGGAAAGTCATCCGAGGTCTCCGTTTGTGGCAGCAGCGAAGTGTAGCAGACAGCTATGCGAGAGCCTGATGTGATCTTAGTGACAAAGTTAAGTCTGCAGTATGTGAGTATTGAATGAAAGACTAACCGGGTGTGGAGCGTTGTAGTAATCATTCCGTATTAGGGACTTAGGCAGAAGTTACGAGTGCAAGTGGTGACCGCGGAGGTCAAGTGGTCTATAGGTATTGGAAGTGTATTTACCTAATAGAGTATGTTAATATGTTATTATTTGTCAGAGTCTATTCTTTGTAATTAAATGACAAAACCCGACGGCCTTTAAATACCTTCCATATGTTCACTCATTGTGTTCCAGTACAAACCTAGTGGTACGCCTCAAGGGTGTGGTGTGTGTAGAAGTACACGGTAGTAGTGTAATATGTGACTACGACGACGCGCGCCATCTGCCCAGGTGGCTCTCTTGAGAGCCAGTTGGGCAGATGGTGCGCGTCGTCGTAGTCACAAAGGGTTTGGGAGGATTTTCCCGGAAGTTTGGCGCGTGTCGGACGCGTGTGAGCGTCCGGTGTTTGGGTATGTGGTCAGGAAAGATGGGAGGTCATGTTGTTGGGGATGTAGGAGAGTATGTGGTAGAGTAAGAAATACAAGGATAAGAGTGGAGTATGTGGAAAGAGTAAATGAATATGTATGTGTGTATGGCGTAGACTTAATCCTGTGTGTAGATAATAGTTTTTGATGATAGTAAGTAAGCTATGTAGAGGCTGAGTGTAGGTGAGAGGGGTCCCAACATAGTCTGTTATGTTGTTTGGGGTGGGGGGAGGGGTGAGGGAGGGATGGAAGGGTGAGGGGAGGTCTCCCTCGGCGTGAGACTGCTCAGGGGGTCATTTGCGGTTTTGACAACCATTAGCTCCCCCTACAGGAAGCCGTAAGTGGGAGAGGATGAGAGAGTAGAGTCCAGCAGGAGGGATGTGGTCCATTTGCCTTAATCGTTTTTTCAAGTCTATTTTCTTCGAGTTATGCAGCTGTGTTTGGAGATGCTCCATGAGGGTAATAGTTGGGCCATACATGGTAGGAAGTGTGGAGAAGAAGGAGGAAGAGAAAGAGAGAGCAGTCACTCTTAAGTTGTGAATGAGATGAGGCAACAGTTGGTGGCGAAGGATTGTTTTATGTAACAATGTATGGGAGTGTATAGGTGACAGAGCTGGACGGATGTGAACCATTACCCTTAAGCGTTTTTCAATGTCCGCGGAGGGGTGTGCGTACTGCCCACTGGTCAGAGGGTAACTGAAGAGCCTTTCCAAGTAGTTTGGTTATATCTTCTCCTCCCGGAGGGTACGCAATGACTGCCATTACTTCCTCAGACACGGCGGAAGTGGTTGGGTATCCATTACCCAGCAAACACAAATCATCTAGAAAACGTTTGTCTATCTCTTCCTATAGGCGTGGGAATGATTTGCATTGAGAATGGTGCAGGAGAGCCTTTGAGAAACTTTTAATCAAAAAATCCAAACACAAAGGTTTTATAATAAATTGTTTTTCTACAACTATTTTGTTCCTAATGTATTACAAATAGTTTTTACATGTTAAAATATTAAATTTATGGTGTTTTTTGTAAAATTCATTAATAAATTGTGAATGATATTTATTGGCTCAGTGAAACGTTCAAAATCCATTTAGTTATAATATGATCAGAAAAAAGTAGTTTTCCAAATTTTCTAAAAATCGCTCTTTTTAACACAATTTGACTCCTTATGCATTCCATTAAACACTAATATCATGTTTAAATATATAATTTTTGTATTATTCCCTAAGATAATTTATATAAATTATAAAAGTTGCTGGAAAGTGGTGTGAAAGAATCTGAAAACGTTTTGTTGTCTTATATTGGCGAGTTCTTATTAACTAGAGTGAGTAAGAGTGAGCGAGAGTGGGTAAGAGTGAGTAAGAGTGACTGAAGGTGAGTGAGAGTGCCAGAGAGTGTGTAAGTGTGAGTAAGAGTGAGTGAGTAAAAGTAAGAGTGACTGAGAGTGAGTAAGAGTGATTGAGAGTAATTGTGACAGAGTGAGTCAGAGTGAGAGTAAAAGTGATTGAGAGTAAGAGTGAGTATGAGAGTAAGAGTGATTGAGAGTAAGAATGAGAGTAAGAGTGATTGAGAGTAAGAGTGATTGGGAGTAGGAGTGAGAG